TTATAAAACAATATATCTGTTTTAAATCTGTACTCTTAAATGTGTAATTATATTGTTTTATAATTTAAATTAATTTAATTTATATTTGTTTAATTTATATTTGTTTTATAATTTAATTTATATTTAACATAAAACAACATAATTACTCATTTAAGAGTACAGTTTGATCAGTTTGGTAGATGTATACAGCCAAGCATTTACCACAAAAGCAAAGTTCTACCTGGGACCAGCTACATCGTTTGTGGGTCCCAGTGTAAAATATAGGCATCTTTGTTCAAATATTTAAAATTTCAAGATGTTGACAGCTGCATGAAACCAAAAGCAAAGCCCTTATGAGCATGAGACTGCCCAGGTCATACCCATGAAGCTAGCCCTGCTTCATCACCTCCAAAAAAACTCCCTTACTCCCTTTCAGCTAATTTCTGGCAACAGGCAACTACAGTTCTACTTTTTGCCCTTATAGTTTTGACTTTTCTTGAATTTCATAAAAATGTAATCATATAGTATCTAGTCTTTTGTGTCTGGCTTTGGTTTCATTAATTTCCCCTATTGTTTGTCTACTTTCTTTTGCATTGATTTCCTTTATGATGTTTATTATTTCTTCTACTTCTACTAAACTCCTTAGGTTTAAAGTTTGTTTACAGCTTCTTAATGTAGATGCTGAGATCTTTGGGTTTTTGTTTTTCTTGTCTTCTAATATAAACATTGAGAGCTTTAAATATCACTGTAAACACTGCTTTAGCTGAATTTCACAAGTTTGATATGTTGTGTTTTCATTTCCATTTAGTTCAAGATATTTTCTATTTCCCTTGTGAATTCTTCTTCTTTGACCTCTGGTCTATTTAGAAAATGTGCTTGCTGTTAAAAACTTTCTATATATTTGTTGATCTTCCAGGTTTCTTTTGTTATTGATTTCTAGTTTAATTCTGTTAATTTCCAGAACATATTCCAAATATATTTAATCCCTTTTAACTTATTGGGACATCTTCTCTGCCCTAGCATTTGTTCTATACTGGTAAATGTTCCATGGGTACGTGAAAAGGAACCTAATTTACTGTTACTGGGTGTTTGATAGATATGAATTAGGACAACTTGATTGACTGCATTGTTCAAGTCATCTATATCCTTATTGGTTTTCTATCTACTTGATGTGCCATGGGAGGAGGAATATTAAAATCTTCACTGATTGTTGTCAATTTATTTTTTTTCCTTTTTCTATTCCATTAGCTTTTGTTTCATAAATTTTGAGCTTTTTGTTAGAAGTATATGCATGTTTAATTGTTATATCATCTGCTGTATTGACTCATATCGCTATGGAGTGTCCTTTTTTTGTCATTAGTAATATGCCTTTTCTTAATGTCTATTTTTCAATGTTAATATTGCATATCTAGGTCTTTTATGCTTAGTGCTTTTATGGTATTTTGTCTATCCTTTTACTTTCAAGCTATACTGTTTTTGATGTTAAGTACATCTCTGATAGAGGTGTGTAATTAGTCCTTGCTTCTTTAATTCAGTTGAACAATCTCTTTTTTGATTAGACTATTTCGGCCCTTCACATTTAATATTAGTGGTAGTAGTATTATAGCTATATTTCTATTTACATCTGCCATTTTGCTATGTATTTGTCTATGTAAAAAATCCTCAATATGTTTATAAAGGTCACAAGATACAAGATCAATATAAAAACAAGATGCTCAAATCCATAATAGTCAGGGAGATAAAAATATAAGAAGTGACCTTACTTCTGGCAGCTTGATAAGGGTGGGTGATTCTTTTCTGCAAAGAAAAAACATACCCAAAATTACTAAGAACGACCATTGAAGGACACTGGAAAGTGGTCAAATACAGGCAACAGTATGAGAAGTGTTTACTCACTTTTAAACATTAGCAAACTACTGTGTATTAAGCAAAAATGTCATTTGTGACCTACTCTTGGGGTGTTCTCCTCATCCCCAGCTTGCTGAAGGTGGCAGGTTCAGGTCATGGCTCATGGCACTAGGGCTGTTAATGTCAGGGGCAGACTTTGGAAGCTGAGATAACAGATACTCCATATTTCTGGCTGGCTGATACATTATGTGCTCATGTAAGAGATCCCATGGAGCCTGAAGAAAACCTGAAAGTCTGAGGAATCTTACAAACGTTCCATGTCTTTGAATCTGTTTCTTATCAGGCAGCAGAGATGGATACTGTAATAGCTTCAGGTATCTGAGCTATAAAGTCAAAACAAGCAAAGGAAAGAAAGTAAGAATTAGATAGTTGCATGCTGCACATAAGACAAATGTCCCAACTGAATTAAGTCAAGTTAATTGCGTGTTATTCCAATGTCAAAAACAAAAACAAAAACAAACCACAAACCCTCAGAAAAATAAAACAATCCTTAGAGTAAATGCAATATATTATATACCTTAATTTGCCTTCAACCAAAAATTACTAGACATGCAAAGAAACAGGGATTTGGGACACATACATCAGACTTGGAGACACTGCATTCCTCATAACATTAAGGAAGTAATACCTTCTTCAATTACTTGGAAGGAAATGATTAAATGTGTGTTTTTTAGTTTTCTTTTGTTCCCTAAATTATTTCTGATTCCTTCCAGTATTTTTTGTTTCTTTGCTTAGTTTAGTCTTTCTATTCCATGTTTCTGGCTTTATTCAAACATCTGGCATTCTTTGATCATCCATTTGTGTTCAAGAATGAGGCAATGAAACACTGACTCTTGGCTTTCAAATGAAGATGCTGCTCTTTCAACTCTACCCCACCATCCTATAATCTGTATTTATTGATACCTAAGCTCATAAGAGTCTTTCTGGACTTCAGGTTCATGATGATGATAATGGTCAGTGCTATAGTCTGAATCATTGTGTCCATCCCAAATTCACATATTGGAATCCTAATGTCCAATGATGGTATTAGGATGTGGGGCCTCTGGGAGGTAATTAGGTGATGAGGGCAGAGTACTCATAAATGGGGTTAGTGCCCTCATAAAAGAAGGCACAAGAATGTTCACTTGCCCTTCCTGGCATGTGGACAGAGCAGGAAGTTTGTAGTATGTAACCCAAAAGGGGGCCTTTACCACAACTGGACTGTGCTGGCACCCTGATTGTGGAATTCAGCCTCCAGAACTGTGAGAAATAAATTTCCATTGTTTATAAGCCGCCTAGTCTATGATATTTTCTATAGTAGCTTGAATGGGCTAAGACAGTTAGGTAATACTTAAATGGTGGGCAGAGCTGGGAATTTTTTTTTTCCCCCTAGACTTTCAGATAACAGAGAAATTGCAGTGTCAAAGACCATGGACTCTCAAACCTAGAACAGATTATCAGAGACAATTTTTTTCCATCCTGCAACTTTTGGGCAGATTCGTTTTAGAAAGATAAAATTTTGTTCTCTTCTGAAAGATATCCAATTTAAGAATTAGTAAGAATAAATGGATTTCATCTGAAAAAGGTTATTTTTTTAATGGCCAAACTAAAACAATATATGGTATTTAGACTATGTATAATTTATCAGTCTTGAAAAAGAAATTACATCTTCCAGTATCTAAACCGATAATTTTTTTCTGAATGTAGCTCTCAACACTTCCTGCAGTATATGCATGTGTATTTAATATAGTTGTACTTTTAAAATGGAAGAAATATCTAAGGGAGTGATTCTTCAAAAATGTTTTGCAGAAAAGTAATCCCAGGAGATGATCCTTGAAAGAAAGAGTTCCCTAAGCAATTTACTTTGTTTTTCTCTTGGGACTCACAATGCATACTAACACACTCTACTTAGCTGTCAGTAAACAAACTTGTATCACTTTTAAATTCCTTTCCAAATGGCTTGCCATAATAATCATTTTCAAATGAAAACCCATGAATATGTTTTAGGGCCGTAATATTGAATAGGATTTTATGAAATGCAGATCTAAGTTCATGCTGTGTCCTCGTAAACCAGAGATCTATGGAAACACACAAAAAAGCACAGTTATTAATTATAGTACATGTTGCCGAACAGAAGTTTTCAAAATTTAGGTTGTTTTCGTCAAATCATGTGGAAAAAGATTATCAAAGTCTTCAGCCAAAGCTTCTTGTACTCAGACCCTTAATGACTCAGGTCCTCACTCCCATTCTTGAAAAGAATAGAATTATTTAAGTAATATTTTAAAATCCACAAAAGAAAATAGGCTTGCCAAAATATATAAGAAAATGGACCTTTATTTCTTTAGGAGATAAATATTTTGCTGTCAAAATATCTGCCTAAAATTTTGCTGTTTTATGAATTATAGACATTTTTGGTTTAAAAAATGTGTGCCTGGATAAACATGTCTAAAAAGTGATAAAGGTGAGAAGTGCTCCAGTGAGATATATAGCAGTGAACAGGGCAGCTGGAAATAGTTCTTGTTAAAATAGATCCTGGCAGATCTAGTTTTAGTATAGGAAGATTGTCTCTAGAGCGGGAAATGGGATTAAGATGAAAATGTCCATTGATGTTCACACTTACTTTTAAGCACCAATACCAGTATTTTCAAAAGAATTCTTACTCAGAATTCTAATATTTAAAACTGATCAAGGTTGTGCTGGACTGACTAGAGTTAAGTGCCCTCCAGGCTCCTTTGGCTCCTAGCAGCTCCTGCTTCACCCTAAGTCATGGTCCAACAAAATCATCTAGAGAAAACTTTCAAAACTAGAATTCTGCACCTCTTCGGAAATAGCCCTAGGAGTCTGAAGGAAAACAATGGGAGTGTTTAGTGTAACTTGATTTAATTTCAGAAATCCTCTTCTCTTGAAACATTTCTAATATTTGGCAACCTACCCTCTTAAGTAATATGATTTTAATGCTTTCTCCTAATTTGCGTAGTGTAGGTTCCATAGCTGCCGTTCTGGGGGCATCCTCTGGGATGCCTACCTTTAAATGCCAGATTCTTAGACTACCGCAGTAGATTGTTCTGTGCCTTTATGATGTCATTGGGGATTCCATTTGTGCTTCACAAGGACAAAAAGAATGTAATAGCTGTAACAAGGACTACCTAGTCTCGCCTTCAAGAAATCTTCTGCTAACCTCTCTGCCAGAATGAAGTTTAATCATTCTTCTTTTCTGTTTTATCCAGGTATAGCTTATGAGCTCCATTTTTCTTTCATGCTGTTGGGTATAAGCAGTTAGTATCCCCATTAGGTCTAGGACATTCTTGAATATAGAACCAGGCTCCCTATTTCTTTTACGTCTTTCAGAGCACAGAATAGAAAAATAACAGCAATTCTGATTAACTGACATAGCATTGCAATTAGTCTAGTGTCATAAATGGCTCCATTAATAGAAGGAAGATTACATGGGAGCCATAGGATTAGAAAGGTTTAAGATCCAAGGAAATCATCTTTTAAATGGAAATGTTCCTGAAAAGGTTCCTCTCAATTAATCTGGAACATGAAATTCTATTCCAAGAGCACCAGGGAATTCAACTCAGTAAGGAAGACTTCTAGAAAATCCTTATGAAAAGTAACCAAGCCCCTCTGTTTCATTTTGGTTATTTTGTATTTTCATTCTTCAGGATTTTGTTAAACCAAAACCCATCTTTTCACAGCAACTGGAAAGAAGTAGAAAAAAAGAAGGACTAGAAGTGGATTGTTCCTTCCGGTAATAACATAATGAGATTAGAGATTTTCTTCTTCTTCTTGTTTTGTTTTTAATGAGAACATTTTGATTCTGGGCTAAAAGATTCTTCATGACACTAATTGTCTTCTCAGCATGAGAAAATGAATCACTTTCATAAGAGAGAGAGAGAGAGAGAGAGAGAGTGTGTGTGTGTGTGTGTGTGTAATCTGTCCCTGCTTGTCATGCCACAGTAAAGACTTTAAAACCATAGATAAAGTCCTGGAAGCAATTCCAGTAAATAATTAGAAAGTGCCCATGTTTACCCTTCAGGGGACAAGTATTTCCAGAGCACCTAGAGACTATAGATCAAGTTGAATTAAAAAGCTGATACTTTAAAAAATTCTTCCTTGTTTTCAGAGTTTTGTATTTCTAAGATGGAAGTTCTCTTCCTGTGGGAAATGACTGAGCATTTAAGTTCTATTTCATATATTTTGCACTTTCTGCATGTCTTCACTCTTGAGGACTCAGCTTTGGTGCCTGCAGGCTTTTTTGAATTTTGTAGGCAGATGTATGTACCTCCATGTCACAATTACACAGATCTATGTAAATGCTTTCAACTGGCATTTCATATCATATTGTAGTAATCTGGCTTTCTCTGAACAACTGAAACAAAGATCACTGAATAGCACATAGGCGGTTCATCACAATTGTTAATTGTCAGATACTAAGAAAAATGGCATTTTATCTTTGCACATCTTGTTTTCCTAAGAGCTTGTACATTACATTCCCACTTAATTTGTTTGCCATGTGGTGTGATTAGGAAGAGGGAAAAAGGGCACAGTGGCTCTAGAGCAAGAACTAATCACTTCTACTTTCTGTGATGCTTACCTTTGTATTGCTATGGATATTTAATGAAGTTCTCTGATAGCACAATTACTCTGGACCTGAATGCTTCACAAGGCTTACCCGTGTTCTGTTTCCTTTTTCTCTTAAGTACTTCTATTGTTACTATGGTGGGATTTAATGCTCATGATTTAGTATCAATTTCTGATATTGAGTTCTACTTACTGTTGGAGTATAAGCTCCAAACGCTGCCATGACTAAAACTAACTCACATCTAAATCTGTCAAGCTTCTTGTGAAAGCCTTAACTAGAAACAGCTGCTGTTTGTTGAACACTTTAGGCTTTTGAAACAAACAAACAAAAAAGGGATAAATGATTTAAAAACCTAATCACTAAAATGTGGTACTCTTGAGAGTTGAATGTAAGAGGTGGGGTAAATATCTCAGCTGTCAGCTGTTGGGTGCTCCAGAAATCTGATGATGTCTGTCAACTTTGAGAACCACAAAAAGGGCTAAAGAAGGTCATTCACATAAACAGTATTTTTCTGGGGCTATATGAGTATCATTTTCAAATAAAGATAGTACACAGCATCCACTGTGTCTGGCAAAAAACACACGGGTCATAATATCTTTATTAAACCAATAATGAAAAAAAAAAAGCCAAGATCATAAAAATGTCCAGGTGCCAAATACCAGTTTAAGAAACAGAATTTGTATCTCATAATTACAATTATTTTTACCTTAATGTGTAGATTCTCAGAACTTGTACAGTTCTTTAACAGGCAGGACTTAGATATGAAGGCTGAGAGGGAAAAAAAAACCTCACAAACTCAAAAACAAACAAAAAAACCCCACCCCAGTGACACTCTTGTAATAATGAGGACACCTGCTACTCAGATCTTGGCTTCTAAAGACCATATTCCAATAAAAGAAACCAGAGATCCTTGGAGGAATGGAAGATTCTAGGGCTGCGGCATGGAAAATACAAGATGTGCCTAAAGATTCTTGTAATGCCAGAAAGTAAGAAAATGCCCAAGCAAAACAAAGCAAACAAAAACGAACAAAAATGGGGCATATCAAATTGACACAGGAACCAACTTCAAAGTGTTTCCAGTGGCCCACACTGAAACAATCTGAGCAACAAAATAAATACTACTAGTATTATATTAAATCCCCAAACTAAAATAAGTATCCATGCGTCCATACTGATAAAAATAAACAACCGAAGGAATAAATGATGGAGAAGGAACGAATCATCCTTCCAGAAGAATTCCAAAGATAGTTAATTTCCCTCCTCTTGAGTATGAACTGGATTTAGTGACTCAATTCCGGAGAATAGAGTATGGGAAGGAACAAATAATAATAGTAGTTAGAGTAGGGTGCCTGGGTGGCTCAGTTGGTTAAGCAACTGCCTTCGGCTCAGGTCATGATCCTGGAGTCCCAGGATCCGGTCCTGCATCGGGCTCCCTGCTCAGCAGCGAGTCTGCTTCTCCCTCTGACCCTCCCCCATCTTGTGCTCTCTCTCTTTCATTCTCTCTCTCAAATAAATAAATAAAATCTTAAAAAAAATAGTAGAGTAGAGAAACCTGACATACACCACCTTAACCAAGCCATCAAGTTAACATAATCAGTGATCAGTCATGGTGGTAACATATGCACTCTGATTTGGTGCAGTGAAGAAGAAAACTCACTTCTGTCGTTTTCTTATCCCAAATCCATAACCCTGGTCTAATTATGAGGGAACATCAAGCAAAGCAAATCAATATTGAGTGTGTTCTACCAAACACTTTACGAGCACTTTTCAAAAGTGCCGAAGTCATACAAAACAAGAAAAGACAAGACACTTTCATAGGCGAGACTAGGAAGATGTGTTGATTAAACGCAAAATAGTTTCCTGGATTCTAGCCTGGAACAGAAAAGGGACTCTAGTGGAAAAGTTGGAGAAGCCCAAATTAAGATTCTTATTTAATTAATAGTATTGAAACAATATTAAGATAGGAGTTTTGACAAATAATATGTTTAAATAAGATGTTAACATTAGGGGAATCTGGGAAGGGCATATAGGATGTCCCTATTATCTTCTAACTTTCTGTTAATCTAAAATTATGCTGAAATAAAAAGTTAAAAACAACCTTAAGATAGTATTCTTAAGCAGATTATATTTTTAGTTCCATGTTAGAATAAATGCTTTCCCTATGAAGTGGGAAAGTATTTGCTCTCTCTAGTAACTTTTATTCCTCCCCTCCCAGTTATACTAGAGGACACATATTCCAAGGGCAAGACTGATGTTTATGGTCATAAAAAGGTTTACAAATATGAATAGGTCTACAAGGACTGAACCAATAACCACAGCTAATAGTTCTCAACTCTTACTATGGTTCAGCACCTAGGGTGCTTAAAAAAATACAGAGACTGGGACCACATCCTCAGAGGTTCAGATTCCATTGTTCTGAGGTGAAACTAAGGCATCAGTATTATTTTAAGATCTTCATAGGGGATTTTATTTTGTAGTCAGGTTTGAGACCCACTGTATCTAATCGATTGAGGCATGTAGAAATTGGGTTTCCAAAAAGATGAGTGGGAAAAAACAAAACAAAACACAAGATACTAGATGTTATCCTAGATCCCTGAAAGAGCCATTGGTTAATTTCAAGGGGGGGAAAAAGCCAAATATGATTGTTCTACTAATAGACAAATTATGCATATATCACAATTACAGGATAAGTATGCGAAGGAGCAGGAATATCAGGATTGCATATAGAACTGTCCTCATAAATTGATGCTAATTTTTCAGCATCAGGGGGGGGAGAAAGTGAGTCAAAGCACAGCAGAGGAGATGCATGAAAATGAGAATCTATCATTTATTTTGCCCAAGGCTCCCTTATTAGCCTCATCCAATCAGGGTAGCTGTCTTTCCTTTATGGCTGGTATCCATTCAGATTAGTATTCAAAGATGGCATTGTTATTGGTAAGTGACTTTCATAGCTTATTAGCTACTACACATACTAATTCAGAGTGATGGAGAAGTGTTAATGTCAGAAAGAATTTGCACTTGTGTTTTTGCCATTTCCAGCTAACTTCATGTGCCTCTGAATATCAAGGACTAGAGAGGAGAGAGAAAGGGGCAGGGTTGGGGAAGGAGGGAGTGGAGTGGGAGCAGAGAGAGAGAGAGGGAGAGAGGAGAAATGACCTAGTTTTTTTGGGGGGGGCAGGTGGAACAGAAATCTCATATGCAACCTTCTGTATTCCTAAACACATATAAATCAGATATAATGGATTTGTTAATAGAAAGGCAACTTTGCTTTCCCTGTGTTTTACAGTCCAGAATTTATTCACTTGCTTAACAGGGATTGGGAATCCTTACAGCTCAAAAAGTGCTTTGGTTTTAACCACTGACTTGATGACTTGATCCTAGAGCTTGATGACAAGGTATTTTTTTTTTAAGATTTTATTTATTTATTTGAGAGAGAATGAGAGATAGAGAGCACGAGAGGAAAGCGGGTCAGAGGGAGAAGCAGACTCCCTGCTGAGCAGGGAGCCCGATGTGGGACTCGATCCCGGGACTCCAGGATCGTGAACTGAGCCGAAGGCAGTCGCTTAACCAACTGAGCCACCCAGGCACCCGACAAGGTATTTTTTTTAAAACACGTTTTGATTGGCTGTATTGCATGTGTTTCATAGCTATCCGACAAATATTTCCTGAGTGCTTGCTATGTGCCAGGCCCTATTCTTAGTCTAGGGGGTTCGGTAATGTGCTGAATAGACAAATTGTTTGTTGTCATGGATTCTGACAATCAGTAGATATTTACATTTATAAGCAAAATCAAATAAAACTGAAACATTCAGTTCACACAATGATTATCAGTAATTTCAGAGATACCATTTAAATGTTTTGCTCTAGGATGACTGTTTCAAATGATCGCTTTCTATATAAAGGCTTTCTTACAGAATACTCGTTTATTTATTCATTTATTTATTCGTTTATTTATTCATTCATTTCTTCATGGTTACCATGTGTTCATCAAATATTTATGGAGCTTCTACCAGAGGAATACAAGCTTCGTTGAAGGCATGGAGTATGCTATATTTCTCATTCTATCGCAGTGCATGTCACAATGCCCTTTATATTTGGAGGTGCTGAATACATATGAAGAGGTCGAATAAGAGGTCGAATATTTACTGGATTAACAAATATGAAGG